AGGGCAGCTGAGGGTTGCATTGGAGGCTGGATGCACCTGGATGCATTTTGAGGGCATGAAGTCATGTTTGAACTCTTGAAACTGTGTGACCCTTTCTGTCCTATTAGCAGGTCAATGGCAGGCGTGGGTGTTATTTAGCCTGGTCCCTTATCAGGCCTAGAGATGAGGTCAGTTTTGGCTCAGTGAGAGTAACATAAGGCACCAAGTGATGGAACTTGGACTTTCTGCTCTCAGGGACTTGATTATAACCATGATGGGGCCTTCTTTCTGAACCCTTCCCCCAGTGTCCTATTTCATCCTGATTTTTTGTGGGTCTGAGTAAGGTCTCTTCTACGTTGCACTGAACTGTTGGACTCCTTTGCCCTATTGAAAGTTCAGTTTGTGTGCAAACCTAGGCTAGGAGCTTAGCTCTGAACCCAGGAATATTTCTATGAATATATAGAGAGATGGGGTCTCCTGTAGCAGGGCAGGAGGCATGGGCTCAGGAACCTCACAGAAGCTAACCAGAGAGTCAATTTCCTTTTTGCACTACAGCCATCATCACTGTGCCACCATCCAGGTGGACATTTATGCCAACCCGAGAGTAGTTCAGCACAATTGGTGGAGCTTCCTAGTTTTGGGAGGTTTTGAAATTCCATCCAGCCAGTTCCTGAAAACCAAGTATCTTCTGTTCCACTATTTATTGTGCCTTATTAATTCCTTTAATATTTCAATCCACATTTTGTTTTATTTGCACAAGACCCGGTTCAGTATAGCATTAATGTGTGTGTATATGGAAGAAATGGATCCCTAGTTTTACATTTATACAGATTTATATGTCTCTGTTCTCTATCTAATTCTTATGAACTTATAATTTACATTTCTTCCCATTTGAAGCAGGGTCTCATGTCTCAAATAGCTAGCCTTAAACTGCTTATACAGCTGGGGATGACCTTGGACTACTTATCTTCCAACTCCCCCCTTCTGAGAGCTGAGATTAGGTGAGTGCCCACATGCTTGGTTTGTGGGGTGCTGGGGATAGATCCCGGGGTTCTGTGAATTCTAGACCACACTCTACCAACTGAGTCACATTGCTAGGGCCTATGGAATTTCTTTTTGTCTTTTTCTTCTTGGAGTAATACTCTATCAATTTTGTTGAGGTTTGTTGACAGGGTTACTGGGTTCTCATGAGTCTTGGTGGAAGTCTGAGTATTTTTCTTCTTAGTTTGTTTTCTGCAAAACTTTACACATTGATCTTGGCTGCTTTTCAGCCATTGAGAAATGTTAACTTGTTTAAATAACACTTTTCTTTTCTTTGCTCTTCTCCTCCTCCCTTCTTTTTTCTTCCTCTCCTCTTCTTTCCTTCCCTCCCTCCCTCCTCCTTTTCCTCCTTCCCTTTCTTCCTCCCTCCCTTCTTTCCCTTCTTGGTTCCCATCTCTCTCTGTGTCTCTTTAGCAATTTTTATGTCTTGATGTATATACAGCTTGCACATAGGGTTTCACCCATGCTCCACAACTGCTGAGCTTAACTATGTCTGCATCCTTAACTATATTGCATACTTCAATATCACTAGTGAATGTGCTGTTGCACAGTATGCTGGAAGGTGTTTAGACCCCAGAGAAGGGTATGACAGTTCTTGAAACTGCCTATATACCGAAGTGGCATGTTTCTTCAGCTTTGATCTGTCTTTTCTCTCCTCCTGACTCTCAGACCTCACAGGCTTTGGGAAAGTGCCCTGGTTTTCTTGTTCTTTGTGCATTTAGCACTAACTATTAACTGTTGCTTATGCTGTGCTCTGATGAGTGTAAGTGTGCTGGAAAATTCTCATACCCAAAAGAAGCTGTGCTGCTGAGTGGCTGCACACACAGAGGCAGGATGTCTTTTACATTAGACAGATTGTTATAGGTATAAGTCTGATATTTAGTAGTGGGGAATGCTAGGATGGGAGAAGGATGGGACACTTTGTATTTTATATTGTAGAATGGAATCTTCAGGTATGCCTGGTCAATAGCTTGTTTGTTCTGAGTTAATTTTCTAGCCCAGATGATGTCTAGAGGACACAGGGCTGATCCAGGCAGACACTAACTAGACTCAAAATTTAAAATGAGAGTCTGGAGTCCAACATCCATAGAAAGGAAAAATACAAGGCATGAGGCTTATACCCAGGGCTTCATCCATGCCACACAGTTGCTTCCCTGAAACTACATCTAACTCTGTAAAACCCACTGGATATGAAGATAGCTTTGTTTTCCTAGGGTTTTAATCCATCATCGTCTCAGATTGCCTGTTCTCTGATGAAAACATAACCTGAAGATTCAGTTTCCATCCCTTCTCAGTGGTGACAGGCTGCACAAGTTCCCTCATTCTGGATTTTCATCCCCAGCCCTTCACCCAGTTCTCCCTATCACAGGGATGTGTGACATTCTTTGTCTCGGCTCTGAGCTGCCATGTCTGGGACATAGTGATATTCATTTCATTATTGCCTACATAAATGAGAAAATGTTATGCATCGTCTCTATTTCCAAGTTTATCCAGAAAGTCAGCATGTCAGAGAGCTTTATAAGTTCTCATGAGACAGAGAACATGTAGCTCGTTTGTTGGTACTCATTTTTCCTGTAGTGGCTAAAAATTCAGAAGCTAGTATCTGTAGAATTCTGTGAATTTGCATTGACAAGGTTAGATTGTCACCCATTAGACTGGAAGGAATTATGGATTCCATTTCAGATGTCAAATTCCCTCCAATATATTTAGATTTTTCATGCACAGTGTCCTTTTGAGTCACCTGAACTGGCTGTGCTGTGAACTTGTGACTGAGCACAGAGACAGCCAGAGGATCAGTGATCAACACTGGGATTACAATCTCCAGGACAGGACAGGACAGTCCTGGCTTCAGTATCTTTCCATGTCCCCAGTCCCCACTGCTCCCTGTTGCCTTTCAGAGACCCCCCTCATTCAGAGGGATGGTGATCTCAGACTCTGGGGACCCTGCATTGAGGACTTGTGTTTCAGCACTTTCCCTCTCTGTAGAGCAGTTCTCTCCTCTGAAGGGCTCCAGGGCTCTGCCTCCCTTCCAGTTCCTCTGAGTTCTCATGCTGGCCAGCAAGGGTTCCTCCTCCTGCCATCCACTCTCCCTTCTCCAGTCACTTAGTGTCTGGAAATACGCTAATGTGGCTCATCCTTGCAAAATGCCCCCTGCAATTGTGGTCTTCACAGTTCACACCAAGGGCCTTCTTATCCATGGGGCATCTTTGCTGGGAACTCAATTTGAATAACGGAGGAAACAACCTGATGGATACTATGGCCCAACTTCTGTTCCATGTAAAACTGTTTTAATGTCTTCTAAGCCTGTTATTCTAGTTGATCTTAGCTCTTAAAACTCAGTTTTTTCCCCAGATAAATCCAGAAAGTTGAATTTTCTAAGTGCAACTTGTATAATAACCTTCAGAATAGCAAATGATCAAGTATTTAATACATTGGAGCTCATGGAACCAGGTAGTTATGTACGTGTGTGAATAGCATTGTCTTTCTCTGGGCTACAGTATTGTCTTAACACTGGACATTGTTCTTAAGGCCTCATGGTATTTTCTGGGCTTGGACCTTCCAGGAACCTGAAGAGGGCAGGTGGACAAGTGTGAATGTTAAAGCAGCATTTCCAGGCATTGCCAGCTCCAGTGAGGTGGGCTCTGAGCTTGCATCCTCACTGAGACCTGCAAAGCATGTGGCTTCTCTAGTTTCATTAAACAGAGACAGTCCCTGCCTGTCCTCTGCACCCTTGCTGCTCACCTCACCCTCCTGAGGGCAAACCTTTATTGACATGTTGGCTTCATATCCTGTAGACCTAGTAAAGGGTGACTTAATCCCAAAATGTGCTTTCTACAGAGCAACAGCCTTGGCCTTTGACTAGCAAACCCATTTTAGCCTCCAGTTCTGTCATTTGTTTTTCATTATTTCTGATAAGTTCCTGTAAACAAGGTGATGTCATCCTCTGGTCAATTAAGCACAAGTCCCTTGATTTTGACAGAGTCTCTTGCCTTCAAGGAAGAAAGTGGGCAGGTGGGACCCTGTTGTTGATAGGACATTGTCCTCATGAAGGTTACCTCAAGACCCATGTCCCAGGGTAACTTGAAAGGCCATTTGAGCCACCCTACCAGATCCAGACAGGCATGTGTCAAGAGCCCAGCTGGCAAAGTCCAGAATCCAGGGATCTGGACAGCTGAGCGTCTGGCTCTGTGCTCCTTGTGTCCTGTGCAAAGTGTTAGAGGATCCTGTGTGGACAGCATCCTATTTCCCTTGAAAGCAAGCCTCTTGGAACACGAGCTCTCCCACTCTATTGCACAGGCCAGTTGTGAGCTCTTTGCTGCCTTGCACTGTGATAATCCCTGTGAAATTCTGTCAGCCAGCTACCCTACAGTGTGATGGGGTTATCTTGGATTTCTTGTGCCCTCAGTGTCTGGTTCTTGGATTTAGCTCACAGACAGGATCAAAAATACTGACTTATTTATATGGTTACTAACTTGCTGAGCATATAACCCGTCCCCCAATTTCCTAAAGGAAAATACTAAGACTATCTGTTTTCTGATTGTTCCTGTCCTAGGGTCCTTCCTAAGTTATGGAATGTCCAATGACTTTAGGTGGAGCTTAAAGCTGTGGTGGGTGCGCAAGCCTGGGAGCTGACAAACTGGCTGTTCTGGACGCAGCGGTAGGTGCTGGATTAAACATTCAAGTTGGGGGCTCCCCGCTTTATCTTTTGTTGAGAGTTGGGCCTCGCTGAATGACAGATTTCCAAGATTTCCACAGTCTAGGGGTGAAAGCCTTGTTCTTCAAGGAAAGGAAAGCTCCACTTTAGCTTTTGAGGCACCCACTAGGCGGGAAGGCGCTAAAGGAAGACGCTGACGGTCCTGGAGGACCCCAGTCACAATCCTGGGACCTGAGGTTGCATGGATCTTTCTTCTGCTTCTCGCAGGATGAGGGTGTGGCCCTTTGGTTTAGGGTTCAGAGTCTCTGATGACGTTTGGAGGGAAAGGCACTGCCTGAGTGGGCGGGACCGTTTACAAGGCCCCTCCCACCTTTCCCTTGGGGCTTCCTTAAAATCTGGTTCTCAACCTTTCTGAAGCCAGTCGGAGAAGACCCCAGCACCAGCACCATGCCTATGACACTGGGTTACTGGAATGTCCGAGGAGTGAGAAAGGGTTCCGCCTGAGGGGTGGGGCTAGGACTTGGGCGGGTTGTGTGTGGGGGGGGTAGGGGGTGGAGTTCAGAACCGTCTGGGCTGTTTCTAGCAGAGGGATACTCCTGTTAGCTCTCTGGAGCTCACAAACTTGGGAGGCTGCACATTTGAGGCTGTGCAGGTATGAGTGTGTGTGTACACACCGTGGGGTGGCTGTGTTTCCGGAGCGGGAGGACTCAATTGAGATGAAGTCACACAGCAAAGGTCTGACCATCTCTAACCTCTTGTGGTCTTCTCTTTCCCAGCTGACTCACCCCATCCGCCTGCTCCTGGAATACACAGACTCAAGCTATGAGGAGAAGAGATACACCATGGGGGGCGGTAATGATACCTTCCTGATCAGTCGCCTCCTTCCGTTTGCCCAGCGATGCCCATCAACCCATGCCTAGCCCCTTATTCCTCAGACCTGCAGCCCTCCTACAGTTGGAGCTAGAGCCTGCTGCTTCCAGAAACCTCTTTGAGGGTGCATTTGAGTTTTTAAGCACTGGGAATGGCCAGGTGTGATGGAACTCGCCTTTAATTTCAGCACTAAGGAGGCAGAAGGAGGTGGACCTTTGTGTGTCTGAGGTCAGCCCTGTCTACATATCTAGTTCCAGGACAGCCAGAGTTACACAGTTGATAGACCTTGTCTCAAACAATGACAAGGAAAACAAAAGCACTGAGAATGTTGTTCTTGGCCCACCTGTATTCATAATTGTCCTGGGCTCACTACTAGGGTCCTATTGGGTTCAGGCTCCCCTTATTACCAGTTGTGTAAACCTCTCTCTTCCATCTTGGAAAGTGACTTAGTGTGAGAGGTTGCAGACACTTCAGGGTATCTTGCTCTGACTCCTTGGGTGGGTCCCCAAGGAAGGAGTTAGAGCCTGGACTGTTTTCTTTTCATTTCATCTTGTCTACAGCTCCCAACTTTGACAGAAGCCAGTGGCTGAGTGAGAAATTCAATCTGGGACTGGACATTCCCAATGTAGGTGCAGGGAAAGGGTGGTTTGGGGAGGTCATGGTGTCCCACCCTCATCTCCTTGCCTGGCTGAGGGGACTTGGGATCATCGCTTTTACTCACTTGCTCCATTCCAGGATTACATAGTAATGGGCTGTGTCCTAGCTCTTCCATTCAGTGTGCACTGTGTTCATGGAGGGTGTCCCATGCTAGGCATACCGAGTGCCAGGCCCCCTGTCTGTCTTCACCCAGGGAGGGGATTCAGGGACCCCCATATCCCATCTGACCATCCCTGCTTGTCTTTCCAGCTGCCCTACTTAATTGATGGGTCCCACAAGGTCACCCAGAGCAACGCCATCCTGCGCTACATTGCCCGCAAGCACAACCTGTGTGAGTGGGGCTGGCTGCAGGCTGGGGCGTGGTGGACATCCTCCTTGGCTTGGGTGGGGTGGGATGCTGAGGGTGAGTGTGCTGTGTGTGCTGCAGGTGGAGAGACAGAGGAGGAGAGGATTCGTGTGGACACTCTGGAGAACCAGGTTATGGACACCCGCATACAACTCATGATAGTCTGCTGCAACCCGGACTTTGTGAGTTGCCAGTGGTGGAGTGGACAGGGTTTACAGCAGGACTTAAAGTCTTGCATCAGATATGCAGCATCTTCCTTCAGTGAATGAACTATGCTACTACTGAGTCTCTGAGCTCTCCTGTCTTACCGGTAAAACAACCCTCATAACCCCAGTGAGCTAGCTCATCAACACTGTGAAGCTATCATGACTTGAGTCACCATGCAAGATATGGTTGAGATTTTATAGAGTGAACTTTCTGACCCTAGACATTTAATGTATAGTTAAAATACCTGTCATTTTCTGTCCTTGACCGCTTCCATGTGTCACCTAACCTAGTGTTCACACTAGCGATTCCTCTTAAAACACAGACTCAGAGGATGAAAATCAAGGCTGGGAGGTGGCTCAGAGGATAAAATTCCTAGATGTGTAAACACGAGGACTTGATTACAGATCCTGGTACTCACATTAAAAACAAACAGACATGATTGTGACAGCATGGTCTTACAATTATAGCACCTTGGGAAAGAAACAGGAAGATTTCTGGGCTTGCTGGCTAATGAGCCCAGCCAGCTTTTGAGCTCCAGGTTCAGTGTATGACCCTGTCATGGAATGTAATGTGGACAGTGATTGAGAAAGACATTGGATAGCAACCTGTAGCTTCCACAGATGCACACATAGGCAAACACACACACACACACACACACACACACACACACACACACACACA